CTGATAGCCAGTTTTGGAAATTTCGAAGTCAGACGCGCTTGTTATGCGCTGATTTTTATTGTTATCATTATGCGCCTGTTTTACCCATATCGTGGGAATACACGATTAAATTAATGTTTACAACTCAAATAAACTAAAATGAAGGCGTATCAAGATTATTTGATTTAGATAACTGATAACGATGACGCATCGCAGCTATAAAAGATTGCGTTTTTTATTAGCTATCTTTCTCTCTAACTACACACGTATTCTATTTTCTCTATCTTCCGTCTTTGCACCTTTCGAAATATATATATATTTTATTTTCAATAATTTTCTATATTATAAAGAAAATGGGAAAAATAACACGTACAAAAGCTTACAATGACCAAAGACACCAAGATCTTAGTAGTGTTGCTCCGCGAGGAAAAATGCGGTCTGGGAGTCATTTGCGACAACAACAAAATGCAGCAGAACACGCGAGAGCGTCGCGAGATAATTCTGAACAGAGTGGGATCCCCCCTCCACCTCGAACATCTTCAGCGCAGAATTTTAATATTAATGGTGGTTTTGGCGGTATTGGTGGTATTGGTGCGGGAGAAGGATCTGCTATGGGAGGATTAGCGCCAAATCAACGAGTACAAACATCACACATTACCCCGGATGGAAATATTACAACCACGACGACTGTTACAATTAAGGTGACTACTGTCACAACAACAAATCCTACAAATGGGGCTACAACTACATCGGTCTTTACGGAAATTGTGCCAGTAACAACCGCCGCCAATAATTCTAATGATGATGCAACAGTTACTTTTCAATCAATGGAACCGAGTTTCACTCCAATGTCGCCGAAAATGTCATCAATTCCCAATTATCATCCACCTGCAAACAGCATCAACATTTCATATGAGGAATCTCCCTCGCCGATCGCTGATGAAAAACGTAATCCTGGAAACTTTTTCGATAAAGATATCGATCAAAATGAAGATCATGGTGGCGCTAGCTCTTCTACCTCATATAATAATAATAAAAATATAAAACAAGAAAGTTCCAGACCTTCATCACCAATCCCAACATCATCACGTTATCGTCAACTTCCCAAATTAGGAACATTGAGTACGGTATATGATGTTTGGAATGAATGGCATGTAGGATTAAATGGAAATCCTTCCATAGAGGAATTGCTAACTAAATTCGGAAGCAAATGGGCAAGCGATAATTCTAGTAGACTGTTTCGACGACGAAAAATTATCGTGGAAGTTAAACGAAGAATAGAGGAATATGGCAACGATGAGCGAACAGCCATTAAATCTCTTGAGGCGATGCGAGCGGGAAAATCTATTAACTATTTATACGATAAATTATCCGAAAGAAAAAAGTAGTACCTTTCATTTCTTTTTTTTTACAATTAATTAATATCGGTCGTGATGACGGATTGTTTGTTCTACTAGTATTATAACATTTTATTTCCTGTAAAAATTATTAATTTTTATATAAAATTAGATTTTTAATTATGCGATATACTTTATAATAACGTGAATATAAAATATTGCCTATGTTTTTCATCGCTAGAAGCTCTTCAGAGTCCTGGATGGTGAGGTTAGTTAATTCGTCGTCGCAGTCGGCACAAATATTAGCCTTCCATATTTTCTTTTACATAAGTTGGCGGATTTCGAGTTTTGATGACGATCTCACATTTTCAAATACTTTAATCCGATCCAAAACCAATAATAAAGTTTTTAGGTCAAATTTTTTGTAATTAAATAGAATTCCTTGCCAATACATCGAGCTTATTGAACTCTGGTGCCTTCTTAATAGCATTTTTTGAGTTCATCAACGGTTTTTTCTACTAATCTTAGGGAGATTTTTTCTTAACACTCCAATTCACTTTAATTAGATTGATTTAAGGCTTCGATTTTTTTCGATCCCTCATCTCGTTTTCTACAACCGGCAAAGAATTTATCAGGGCGATCACCGCTTTTTCGGGCCAAGTGATGGTTTTTTAGTACAGTGATCTTGCGATTTGATTGGTTTACCCCGTAAAAATGCATATTACCTTCATGTAATCCATCCAATAAGGGCGCGAAACAAATATTTTGACTGCATAGTTTAAAAGTTTGTGTTTATTTATGCGCATCAAAGATAACGGACCTGCTGTCAAGGACTCCAATAGTGCTCAAAGTGCATTATCCAATGAAGTGTACATCAAACAAGAACAACGGGAAGAATTGCTATATCATCAGACAGCACAATCGTCCTCTTCATCTTCTAGACCGATATCTGTGCTATCAGCTCAAAATGTTCCACGCACACCTCAAACGGATATGAATCTTCCTTCTCAAGCACCGCTCACTACTGCTCCTACTGTCTCTATTAATAAAGATGCGATACAACAACAAAATCCTCCAGATATTGACGATTTTTTGTGGTAATTGCATTATTTATCAGTGGTAATATTTTTTCTATAATATTAACATTTTTTATACTTGATCTGATTTTAGTCCTATATCATAAAAGAAGCGTTTATGAGAAGATGTGGTCATTCTTTCTGGTAACAATTTTTTCCTTGTCAAACTCCTAAAAATTAATACATTGGATCTTGTTTGATTGATTTGTTTTGCGTAGTTATGTTTGCATCGTCGTACATCTTGGTCGCAAGAAAGATTGTCTCACTCGTGGAGTTCATTTAATGCGAGATCAAATCTTTCTAATTTCTTATGTAGTAATTTAATTTTTATGAAATTAATTATAATATATAAATCTTTTACGTTTAGGTCGAATAGTGAACCGGCAGTTTGACTCCGCCTACACAAACTCAACAGATGAAAGAAAAATTATGAACACAGATTTAAACGTTGAAAGTTGGAATCAATGATGTTCATTTATTGATTTTGAAATTATTTTTTAGTTTTTAAATAAAAAATTAGATATCGACGCCATGTTGATCACGTTGTTAGCGAAAAAGCATAAAATGGAGTCAGCTGAAAAACACACGAGAAGCTCAATCTTTAGGACAACAACAACAGTAGCAATAATTCATTGGCTCAAGTACTTGTGAAGAAAATGCACGAGAGACTTCAAATATTTATAATAGGAGCAAAAGTACTAAATGATGTTGCTGAAGCTGATGTTCCAGATGGTGAACCTCATCAACAAGGAAACGCACGTAGTCAATCGAGCAAGAAGAGAAAACACACTGTATGTCAATTTGTGTGTACATACAAATCTATTTCCTTCAAATAAGAATATAATAAAATTCTTTTAACTTAAAAGGAAATGGAAGATTCTGGAATTGAAGGTTCCTTAATATTTGAAAAGTATTGATCAATTATTTAATTCAAGTATACTTTATGAAGACACAATGATATTAATTCGTTAATACTATATGCGTTCGAATATAGAGCGCCTTCAGAAACTCTTGATCAGCGACTGTTTGCAAAAAAAGAAACGGGTTCGAGAACACTTAGAAGATCTAGAATCATGTTACTTATCCTATCGATTGCAAGATAGTATTTAGACTGATTTAAGTTATTTATATCAATCTAATTCTTCCATTATAAAGCTGATCCCAGGAAGGAGGATTGTCCAAATTCTCGAAAACACTTAGCTCATTCACAAGATATGGCCAATTTCGTCTAGCGAATACTTTGCGATGGTTTTATTGAGGATGGTGGCCAAACTTTATATATAAAGTATGAATTATGAGTTTTAAGTATCAAAAAATCAATAAATTATAGCAAAATTAACTATTCAAACAAAAACTATTCAAGATAACAATTCCTTTGCTATATCCATCAATATTCTAATTCATGATATACTAATTTTTTCTCAAAACTAACAGATACAGAACAAGAAGCATCTGAACAAGTATTTATAGATAATGATAAAATACATATGTTAAAATTCTAAAAAGTTTTCTATTCCTAATATAAAACCTACTCTAATATAAAATCTATTACTAATTAAGCACTCCACAATAATATAAATAAAGATATTCTCTAGTCTTATTATGAATCTCATCTTTTTTTGCAGTGCTATAATACTTTTCTAATATAGAACAAGAAGCATTCAAACCAAGTCATCAAATTTATTAGAACTTTGAAAATAAAGATGAGATTACATATTAAAAAAAGTATAATAGATTACATACTTTATATATATCTCTATTAATAGACATATTAAATCTTTGTATTAATCATATCTTCTAATTATGAGAAGAAACTAATAATATTATAAAAAATTAAAGCAAGCAGAAAGAATTTAATATTATTTAAAGATTAGAGCTATATTTAGAAGATTATTAAATATCACAATTATAAATATGAATTTAGCAGTTAATATTAATAAAAAAAAGTTAATATTCATAATTATTATAATTATAAGTTAAAATATCAAGAATATAAATAACATATTAATATTAAATTACCAAGAAATATCTCACTTATAATTCTTATAATCTTTATTAATATTTATAATTATATTTTGATATTTAATCTTATATTCTAATATATTAAAGAATTTTTGAGAATATTCTTGATGAAATATAAAATTCAAAAATAAAAACTTATTAATTAGTACTTAGAAAAGACTATTAAAGATAAAATTTTCAAATAAGATTATTTTTAATTATAATCTTTTAAATATAATATAAAAGTTTAAAATTTATATTAATAAAAAGCTATATATATTATATTTTCTAATAATACTTCTTGAATATAAATCATATAATCATCAATAAATTATTAAGTTTATGCTAAATAATAAAAATTAACTTATCTACTTATTTTAAATATTATCAGAGCAGATTATTCTTTGATTAAAATATTATAATATAATTTTAAATAATAATACTACTAGTATTAAATATTACTTTTACTTTTTTTATTATGAATAATAATATTAAATATATCTTATAGTTCAAATACTTGTATTAGATAAAATAATAAAGTTCTATAAATAGATCTAAATTATACAAAAAGATAACAAAAATCAAGTTATTAATAATTATTATAAATACAAATTCTGTAATAAATATTATTAGATAAGTATATAAAAATATTTATTTAATTTATTATATTTTTCATATTAATAAATATCTATTTAAAAATCTCAAATACAAGCTTTATAACTAATATAAAAGCTTTATTTATAACTTTTTTATATTATAATAAATTATATAAAGAAAGTTTTTATAAATAATAATTATAACTTACTAAAAAATATTTTAATATTAAAGATTATCTGATAAAAACTCTTTATCTTAGCTAATAAGTATGAGTATATATATTTATATCAAAAATATTTATAGCTAAAATTTAAATTATCTTTTATATTAAAGATCTTAATAGTATTATTAAATATCTTTTAATATTAAATAATAATTTATATAATCTTATTAATATATTAAATACAAGACTTTAAGATAAGATATAATAAAATTAGTTTTTTAAATATAAGATTATATTATCTTATATATAAATTATATTAATAAATTATAATTTCTTTTCTAAAATCAATAAATAAATATTTAAATATCTTATTCTTTATATATTATTTATAGAATATTTAAAAATAATATAATATTTACATTTTATTATAAGTCAAATAGATATTATAAATAATAAATTAAATTAAGTATAAAATTTTTGAAATTATTAATATAATCTAATATTTTATTTATATTTAAAATCTTAATCTTAATATAATAAATAAATTTATTAAAAATTTATATAAGACTAAGCAAATTCTATTAAAATTGATAGTTATTAAAGTTAATAAAAAAAATATTCAAAAAATATAAAAAATTAAAGATTTATAATTTAAAATAATAAATACTTCTATTTCATAATAATTATTAATTCTATTTCTTATTTATATTTATATATATCTAATATATCTCATAAATTATTTATTATTATTATTTTTAAATAATAATATATTTAAGAATTACTAAGTTTTATATTTAAATAATATCTATTTGATAATATAATAATAAATAAAAAAATAAAAAAATTATAAATAATTACTATTTTATAAATCAAAAATTGACAAAAAATTAATTAAATAAAATATTAATATTAAATTTATTAATTATATTTAAATTTGTAATTTATATTTTCTGTAATTATATTTTATATAATATAATATAATAAAAGATTAAATATAAAAAGATATGAGAACTAGTATAATATATAATCTAATTTATTATTAAATATAATAATTATAATAAAAAAATAATATAATTAAAAGAATTTATTAACTAATATAAAGAAATAATAAATATACTTATTAAATTAATACAAAATTAAAATCTTAATAACTTATTACTAATAATAAGAAAAATAAATTTGAATCAATTAAAAATCTATTAGTATTATAATAAAAAATATATTTTAAACTAAATATTATAAATTAATAATTAAAAATTATATATATATATATATCTATCTATAATATATATAAATAAACAAAATATAATAGTATAATATATCAAAATTGCTAAATATTTATTTATTTTTAATTATTTATTTTCTCTATTTTACTATATAGCTTATTATTTGATTTATAAATTATATATTCAAATTATTATAATTATCTAATTTCTAATATTTAATTTCAAAAAGAAATTATTAAAGTCTTTTAAGATTATTACTTTATAATTTTTATTATTATCTTTTTCTAATTACTTATTAAATAATCTTCTTTTTATAAAATATTATAAGAATTTCTTAATATTAAGTATATATTATTTTGTAAAATAAAAAAATAAAATAATTATAAATTAAAAAAAGAAAGCTTAAAAAATATTTTATTAAATTATAATTAATATAAATAACTAATCTTTTTTATATAATTACTTTTAATTTATTCAAGTCTATAAATTTAATTAATAATTAAGTTAATTAATAAAATTTAAAATAAATATATAATATATTATAACTAAATAAATAAAAATTCTAAATTTTCAGTCTTAACTAATCTAATTTTTCAAGATAATTTCTGAAATAGAATATTTCAATTAGATTTATCCTTATTTTTATATTATTTTTTAATAATTATAAATAATTATTAATTTTAATTAACTTATTTATTTATAAAAGTTTATTTAAACTTTTATTAAATATATAATATAAAATTTTTTTATTTTAAATAATAATATTTATAATAATAAATATTATATTTTATTATATAAAATTAATTATTTATAATAATAATTATAATTAATATAATATTTAAATTTTTATTAATTATAATTAATAAAATATATAATTTTAAGCTTAAAAAATAATTAAATTTCTTTATATTTTTCTAAATTTTTCTAAATTTTTCAGATTTTTTTGTTAATAACTTATTTTAATTATATATATAGTAATAATTAAAAGTAATAACTCAGGAGTTAAATTTACTAATAAAATATAGTGAAAATTAAAATTTTCTCTCTATATAAAAATTTATGATTTTAATAAGAAATAAT